ACTACTGAACTCATTCAGCAACTAGATTTAGCTAAGTCTGTTGGCTTCCAGAGCTGGGGGACAGAGGGAGAGCAGGAAAGACTTAAGAGAACTGACCATATCTACTGGAAACTCACATTCAAAAAGCCAGTGGCACAGGTTAACACACATCCCCATCAGCCAAAAAAGGCACCACTGAGGATGCATAAGCAAACAGGATCCTACTGCAAGGATGCAATCACCTAGGAAATAGATACAGCTGAACTGAACAGGAATTGGTCGCTCACCACAACAGGAGTGGGTTGCTAATAGCTTAGAAAATGCAGTTGCTTGTACTCTAGTATAAAAAAAAAAAAATCATGTAAATAAACATAAAACAAGCTAAAAAAACTATGGAGGATTTTTGGTTTTGGCACTCAGGATGCCAGAAAAAAAGCTACAACAGTACCAAGATGTATATCAATTTGTATCAAGAATTTGTCTGAAATATGTTGATATAAGACATGCAGGACTGCATCTCCAGAGAGGGAGAAAGCAAACATAAGTGTATTCCTCCAACTAGTAACTAGCTCAAAAGGGCAAAGATAGCTTTTAATTAATCACTGTAACTGGGTATCATACAAACTTCTTAAAAAGTTCTGGTTTAATTTTGTGCCTTTGTTAGAAATACCTGAGCACTACTTATACTTTCATTACTCTTTGAAAACTAATTCTTCATAGTGATTTCTGCATATCTATTAAATTCCAGTATTTCTGGCACAAAAAATATGCACCAAAGAGAAGTGGTTTTGGACCAAAAACCTTCCAAAGCATCCAACAATATAAAAAAAAATTCAACTGCTTAAGGTAAGCACTGAACTGTGGTCTAATTTAGTAATTACATTTTAAAACATCACACTGAGTAATTCTGATCTGAGAGTTAAATAATTAATCAAAAGTTACCTTTTTTTTTTCCTAGGAAGAAAGCAATAAGGCCATGTTGTTGTTTTTTTTTTTTTTTTTTTAAATGAAGTTATCAAAAACTATACTGGTCTTCACAAAATATTTACCTGCAATCTGCAGAAAGTAATCACGATTCAGACAATATTTGTTTATTACAGATCCAGCTAAAATGAAAACTAACTGTCCTACCCCAGTTCCCTGCATAACTCCGGATGACAAAGCAGACCACATTCATTAGTGCAAGGCTTCTGGCAGCACCCAAGGAAGCAGTCAAAACTTGCAATTCCAGTAAGTTTCCTCTGTGTTATAACAAACATGAAGATATTGTTTCCTCTGCAGTTACCCACATAATAAAATATGTAGAGATCTATTTAATTCACTACACTCCCGTATTCATAGATGTTTAAACTATGCAGAGATCCTTTTAAAAATGTTCTTCCAGTTAAAAAAAAAAAAAGTCTAGTGAAAATAAAGTCATCTTTATTTAACAAAAGGATAAAGGCAAAGAATATATAATAATTTCCTCAGCAGGACTTTTGTCTAAAATTTTCTGCAGGTTTACATTGTCACATAAATCTTCTACACATAAAAATATACTCTCTAATCCAAGCCAAAGATTTGTCCTTTGGAAAATAAAAAAATTGAATGCAGATGAAATATTTGTAATTTCATTCATTCGGTGATCTTTAGATCTTGTTCCAGATCTGAAATTAGTTCTTTGATACCCGTTAACATACTTGCCATATTACACTACTGTGGCCATATCCATTTACTTCACTATCTGCCTCAACACAGACGGGCAACTCGCATGGCTAGTCATAGACTCTCTTGTCTGCTATGTTATCTGAACAGTGATTAAATTAAATGAGTGCTATGGGAAGAAAGAAAAGGTTCGAGCTTTTTTCTTTTTTTAGATCATACTTCAGTTTCTAGCATCTAAAAATTTATTTAAACTTTTAAGTACATTTTTCTAATACTTGCTAGAGGTAGGAAAAATGCATTCTCATTTGTTAGCTTTAATATTCTCAAATCTCATTCAACATTAACCTCAATATTCCATCCAAGCCTGGAAATGCACAGGTTAATTGTGCAGACATATACAAGACTAAAAAAAATAAATAATAAATGCATCTCTATCTTTATATAGAGAGGCATTCCTTTTAATTTTCCATTCAGTATGCATCTCAATTTTGCATTAGTGCTTTCCAACCTTAACCCACCAACACTCTTGAAGAGGCAGGTACAGATCCTGTACAACTGAAGAATAACACTTCAGTATTCTAAAAACAAGCTCTTTATCAGATGATCTCAGATACTATTGCGGCTACTAGTAATTGTTTTTGGAGTGCAAAAGTGTAATACGGAAAACACATAAAAGAAGAGGAAGGCAATAAATAATTAAGTATCTTTCAGTAGTGCTTTTTTCACTGGGAATTTTTTTTTTTAATAATACAAAAATGAGTAAGAAAAAAAAGGAGGTAAGAGCAACTGTCTAAGCATCAAATCAATCACAGATTCATGACTAAAAACTTAATTGTTCTCAACTTCCAAATTCATGCTTAAATGTTGAGATGCAACTACAGAATAATTTTGTTCTTCTTGAAATTATTCTAAGAGTAAAGGAATGTCCACCTACAACCAGGAAGGGTATCAGACTTCCAGCAACAAAGCAAGCAAAATCCAAAGGTGCTAAACTTACCAACTTTCAGAGTCAATACTAAGTATTTCTGAGAGCTTGGTCTCCTGCCTGCTATTTGCAACTAGGGACCTAGACTAAAGGATGTGATTATTACCCATTACAGGATGTACCAAAACAAAACTGTTTCTGGGGATCTGAAAATGTAAAAATATGTTTTCTGAGGATAAAACAACAAAAATAGCAACTTACATTTCATATGCAGACTGCTAAATAATATTCCTTTTATCTGAAGCATGCAAGTGCTTTCACTGGAAGAAATCAGTTTGATAACTTTCAGAATTTACATATGTTAATCTGTAAACTTAAAAAAAAAAAAAAAGTGAAATGTACTGCAAGTAAAAACTAGTTCTTGCTTTACAATTAAATATATTCTTCAGCCTCTGGACCCACATATAAAACTTGCAGCTATGGATTTCTGCATTAAGCATGGAGTATAATTTTCAATTAAGCAAACTAGAAATTCCCGTTAAGCCCTAAGATCCAGGCACTGTTACCAACCACAAGAGATAATTTCAGTAAGACTTCTCTAAAAAAAAAAAAATAATAATAATTTGTAATTCCCCCCCTCCCCAGTAAATACATATTACAATAGACAGATTCTTCCCCGAAGTGCTACAGGGTAAGCGCTCAACAATTCCCTGTATACAGTCTGATCTAATTGGGAACTACCAAAATCCCAGCTCATTCTTTACCCATTTTCTCTCCTACACCATCTCATTGCAATGATTATTCATGAAAACAGTGGAAGACAGTGTTTGTAGATTTATAATAAGGGCAGCAGAGTCTGTTTATAGCTGTTTGTAAACACATATTCATAATAATTTTGCTCAGAAGCACAAAGCTGAAGTGTTTTTGTCAGCACTAGTCCTCCCTGCTTTCCCAGTTCTCCCTCCATCAGCACAAAATTGAAATAGTTCCAGGACTGTTCTGTTCGCCACAAATTTAAGCTGCCTTCTTTGTTGCAGAATTTATTTCTCACTTGAATGAAATGAGTCCTTTAAAGCCTTAAGGTATGGAACCTGCAACCTAAATATAAGCTACAGGACTGATTTCCAACTTTCTGAATCAGCCTGTAGACATTGAGAAAAACTGAATAGCCCTTCACACTTAGGGCTATGTTCTAAGACTGTGAAAAATTGCAAGTCTGGTATTATATCATCTACTAATAACCCTGACTGTGCTACTACATAGTGAGTGGCTCCCAAAAAGGAAAGCTGGAAGAAATGTGTATGAATGAAAAGGGACAGGCGAAGTAAAATAATAAGAAATAAACGTAACTGATTGATTTCATCAACTCCTACCTTTCCAAAAATTCTCTTTGTATTTCAGATATAAGCAAAAGCACCACCACAAATCGGGAAGACAAAAATGAAATTCCAAATGCTTTTTTGTGTCATTTACTGACAACAGATTGCAGCTGATTCACCCCAGCCCACACTAAATCGCAGTTTCTTTGCAGAAAATACACGGTGCTTAATTCTCAACAAAACTACCATGGGAAAAAAAAAAAAAAGAGTAACCACCACAGGGAAAAAGATGATACATGACATACCCCACCCTTCTCTGTTCAGATCATCCTAGCTGGATGATAAACATGTTAAGATAGCTTGATAAATTGCATTAAACTCCTGCTAATTGCTAATAAGCAGTTCCTAAATGCTTTTAGGTAATACTGTAATTGGAAAACATTATTGCATGTAGAATGGAGTATAAGAAAACTTCCAGCAGGCCTAGCACACCAAAACTGACAAACAAAACCGATCAGAACATTAGCAGCAGAATACTCTCAGGTTAAGTGTCAGAAGTGACGATGAGTTCAAATCCTTTTCAATTTTCAGAGATACCACCAAAATCAAATCAGAGCTACACAGCATATGAATCCCCCGAGCCGCACGAATAAACTATGCCACTTTGTTGTCTGGTGTAGGGGAGAGGAGAGGGAACGTGGGAGAGCAAAATGCAGCAAAAGCTCTTTTCCTGCCCCAGTTGTATTGCCAGATGAAAAAGCCAGCAACAGCAAAGCATTTGCACGGTGCTAAACACGCAAAAGACCCTAAAAAAAGAAAAAAGAAAAGCAAAACCCAAACATCTTATGTGCTAAGGCCATTAATAAAACTAGTTTTACAGTTCACTTTTCTTTTTAATTTATGCTTCCTGCTGATACTTAAACAAGACTAATTGAAATGAAATATACTCAACAGTAGCACCTTCGCCAAGTAAGAGATTCCCAGTTTCACAATCCCTTCACCTTCCCAGAAACTGTCTAGTGCATTTAAATAGCATCAAGGGGCAGAGAGGAAGCATTTTTTTCTGGGGCTAAATTCAAAGAAGGCTTTTAGAGGACATTGTGTCCCGTCATTAACTTTTCTTACATACATACTTGTCACTTCTTGTAAGAAATCCAGACAGGGTCGGCTACTTCCAGAAATACTTATTGAAACAGCCAGTGGGGTCTGTCCTTCATAGTTCCTTGTGTTAGTGTCCGCTCCGTAATTATATAACATTTGTGCACAAAGCACATCATCTCTAAGAGCAGACAAGTGTAAGGGCGTCTGTCCATCTTCCAAGCGACCCAAGTTTGTGTCCGCCCCTCTCTGAAGGAACATTCGGCAGTACGAGTGATTGCTTTTGATCACAGCGTATCGTAACAGGAAACCATTTTGAATGTCGATGTTGGCATTGTGATCCAGGAGGATTTTCACACAGCTTGACCTCTCTCGGATAATGGCCAGCTGGAGCGGTGTGGTACCTTTATCACTGAGCGGATCAACCTCAGCCTTGAACTCCAACAGGAGCCTGACAAATGAGTCTCTGCCATAGTGGGCTGCTACATGGAGGGGAGTCCAACCATCGTTGCTTTTTGCATTAATAATGTCACTTCTATATTCAGATTCCAACATCAAGCGTGCAATCCTCGCTCGGCCATGCATGGCTGCATAATGCAGAGCAGTGAAGCCTCCAATTAAGTCCTTAACTGTGGGATCAGCTGAAGTTAAAATAAAATTAAAAAATAATTAGAAGGCGTTACAGTAATCCAGAGCTGCAAACAAATAATCAAATGATTGAATGTTATTCTTTTCAGGCATAACAAGACAGGATTTTTTTTGTACTTCAAAATAATTCTTGCTTTCAAGAACCAAATGCTATTTTAAAGAAAAAGCTAAATTATATTTATGAAAGAATTACACAAAAAAGACCTTTTCTTTCATATACATATGTTTCCATTTGACAAATAGTTTTCCACATCTTTCTAGCACTCTTAGGCTAATTACTCAAATCTCTGTCCATCCAGTTTTCCTCCAGCTCTGTAATATTACATTTCTTTCTCAATGCTGAGCTTTTTTATTTTCCCTTGTGTTGCTTCTTGGTCTTAAAAAGAAGCATGTGTAGAAACATCTGCTGTCCCAAATTGCGGATGTTTTGTGGTCTGGCAGGATTGTATTGTTTTTAGGGTGTAATACTGTATTAGGTAAAATGTTTCTCTGTGGTCTGCAGGATTTCCAAAGCATGTAGGATATATGTTATTTTAGATTATCTTGATAAAGTTTGTTTTTATAAATGATGAATCTGTTCTGAATTTATACTTTTACAAAAATTTTAGATTTTACAGGAATGTAAGCAACCACGTATGGAAGGAGTCAGGAGAAATGTTAGTGCAGAGTACAAGTGATTAGACAGATAGCCCCCCACGCACCCCAACACAGCACAAAAACATCATCTGATTTATGAATTTAAAAACAGAACTTAACCAAATCAATTTACTTAATTTCCTCAGCACACCCAGACTTGTAAATCAAATGACTATTCCCACGTACCCAACTAATTACTGGAGGAAAGGTGCGTGCCTCATTACCCTTTCTCAGCTAGAAAACAAGCCAGGCTGCAAGCTTTCTCCTTCCAGCATCGGTAGATGTTGCCTAACGGATGGTGAAGAGTACAAACCACAGCTTGGAAGTTTGAGGCACTTTCCTAACCTAAGCTTCCCAGCTGGTAAAAGGAGATACTGTCTGCACAAGAGACTAGCATTAAGCTGACATATTTTTAATATGCCTGTGCAGCATCTACTGAAACAACTGCTGGGTCCTGTTCTTCATAGTTCCTTGTATTTGTTTCCGCTCTGTAAACACACAACATTTGCAGCACAAAGAACAAATCATCTCTAAGAGCAGACAAGCGTAAGGGTGCCTGCCCACCTTCCCTAATCTTCACAGTGCTGTCCTTGCACCTTGGCACTAAGTTCTTTGTGGATTCCTCATCTATATAAGCGAGTTAAGTTCACAATGTGAACTACAAACTGGTTTAGTCTAGATCTAATGATGGTCTGAACATGCAAACGTGCCATCAGGAAACAGGAATGAGCTTCCCAATATGGATGTACTGCAACCACATCCAGATAACACACTGAGACAGATGCCCTGCCAAAATAATAGGGCAGGAAAGACAGAGTTCAGAACACAGCTGCAAAGGTGATCCAACAGCTCTAAGGAATTTTTAAGGTTTAAAGAGAAGACTGAAGGAAGGAAAAAAACAACACAAACTAGTGGAGCCTGGCTACGCAATTAAAATAGCACATGTAGAAATAACACGTAAGAACGGCCTCTATTAAGTAAATAGAGTAGGAACCTAGAAATAACGAAAGACAGATTAAGGAAAGTGCCTTGGTAGACAGCCTACTTCCTAGTCTTTGCTGAAAAGCAGGAGTTTCAGTGCCCTGTAAAGTTACACTAACCTGAGTTAAAGCAATTGCCGAAGCATCCACAGGTTGGCAGGAAAAAGACGACCTTGACTGAATAGGTGGTTGCTAACCTGCACTATGACGGTGTCAGGTATTTTTGCAGAGAATCAGTACAACCCACACAGTCATTGAAGACTGAGACACTGCATCAAAGTGATGTGAGCTGCTCCCAGGATCTTTCTTTGCACTGCTTAGACTATTCTACATTAACTCCTGACTGGTGATAGATAAAGTTAGTAGCACAAGCATGAGAATTAAGATGCAGAGGGATGATACATTCTGAGAAGCAGAATTAGGGAGAAAGTTGGACATAACAGAAGGAGACAGCAGCAGCCAGGGCCATTTTTCACAAAAAATAGTTAAAATATAAAATTGACAAGCACTGTTTCATATTCTGCCTTCTCTCTTCCACTCCGTTTTGGGCATGCAGGTCAATTTTTTCTTCCTTCTAGCTGAGGCACAAGATATTGCTGCTAGCCTGCTTAGTCTATGCCATTTCTGAAGTCAATCAGATCTGCCCCAAATTGTGTGCATGTGTGTACAAATATTTTTATACAAGTTGTTGTAATCCAAAAGCTACGGTTTAGTTCACAAAATAAGGATGTGCCTTCTCTATGATTTTAAGTTCCTTTCCATATTTTCTCTCCTCTCAAAATTTCATCACATTAAGGTCAAGCAAAAAAATACAACGTCACGTAAGACAAGTGTCTCAAGAAGAATAGGAAAGAAATGTCTTACCTGGGCAACGAGGGAACACAAACAACTAACCTTCCAAAACCAAGCCTGGTAACAAAAACTCACAATAAAAATATTGTGATTCCTGTTAAGATTATGGGCTTTTAGTGAGCTAAGGGTAGCAGTTACCCCCTTGATTAAGGAAGCAATTTTAACAAGACCAAAACATTATCTGCTGCTACTCAGCAAATGTCTTGCTGCCACCTCCTGTAAAACTTTTGAACTGCACAAGGGCTTTTTAGCAAAAGTTGGACCTGTGTTATATCACATACAATTTCTATCCTTTCAGTCCCTGTATTAGCAAAAAGAATACTGCAAAGCTGATGTTTTCTTAAAAACTTTGGTTGCTATACTTTTTTAAAATATAAAAAAAAAAAAAAGGCTTCAACATATTGTAAAGTAACTCTCTCCCCCTGGAATGCAAGCAAGGTAGAAATGAATTGGGAAAGAATTCACTTAGCTTACCTTTCAGATTCTGCAGAGGGGTAAAAAAGTACCTGGTACAAGCGTATTTAACTAGGAAGGGATGAAGCCAGCACTTGCCAGCATTTCTTTATCTTGCCTCCATCCTGATTGTTTGACAATTATAGTTATTTCTTCTCAAGCTTCCCATAAATTTGGGGATAGCAGAATCTAGAAATATGAACAGCTGCATTTGGTCACTTCTAATGTTCTTAAATATAATGCAAAATACAGTGACATAAACCTTGAGCTGCTTATCAAGGGTACTGAATTACTATAATCAACCTCACTTGAGACAGAAAATTGCAACACAACGATACTCGTGATCTTAGTTCATTTTAAAGCTGGGGACCTAAACTAGTCATTTAAACTCAACTGTTAATGAGACTCATTTTTAATACTGTAATCTACAGAACATATAGATTCCTAAAGAAAAGTCTAAAATTTTAGTTTTAATTTACTGCTCAGTGGGACAGCTTCCCTTCTTTCATGACACTTTCATTAGCTTACTCTATCAGTCTCATTTGGGAAGCCAAGAAAGCAGTGCTTCTGGCTTCATAAAGTACTTCTGTTATTTCAAGCAAACTGCCCCCAGCTAGGACTTAATTCTGACCATGTGGTTTAGAAAAGTGGTTTAGAAACATGGCTACTGCATGACTAATTTTTAGGACATTGATACAAAAGACATCCACAAAGGCATTACTACACAAGACCACTCTGAGCTGTAGGGAGGGATGAGCATTTGCCATTCTTTAGTTTCTCCTGGATTCTCCATGACCTTAAAGCTTGACACCTTGCAGCCAAGACTAAAAATAAATACATCTGCTTAGATACTTCCGTTACTTTTCAGTTTCTGAGAGCTTTAGCAAATCATTTTTCACTTTAACACAAGTAACAATAAACTGTCCTGCTCAATTAACGTTGAGAGTTATCACCAAGAGACAGATAGCAACTACATGCTTTCAGGACCTTAGCTGGTGGTAACTAACTGTGCTAACTGTGATGGGAATTAAACAAACTGGTTTTGTGCAGCGTTATATTGAAACAGACAATGCCTTATTTTAAAAGCAAAGAATACATTTAAAGGGAAAAAAAAAAGCTTGCTATGCTATGCAAAAAAATCTAAGATCACTGAAAACTACATCCCCAGTTTTTGTTTTGTTCTCCTACTGAGCTTTGTGACTTTGGATTGTTCCTGTGGATAGAGCTAGCTTCACAGAAACTTCCCTTTATTAAAATGCGACAAATACTTTAAGTAAAATCACTATTTTTCACTTATGAAAACTAAGTTTCTCCACCCTTCAGTTTCCACATTTCATAAGAATACTTGTTATCTGACCTATAACCTCTGTACCTAGCTGCTATTTCTGCTGGCTTTACCCTTCAATTTGAACTGCTACTTTAGGCGTTCTGCCCATCTATCTGTCTCTCCTCCTTGTTTAGCAGAAAATAAATGCTTCCTCCTGTTCCACCACCTCCGCTTCAATCAGCCAAGCTGCATACACAATGCTGTCCCCTGGCTCTTTTCTTTGCTGGCGAGCAATGCTGGAAGAAGAGAGAAAAAGCAGGAGGCAGCTAGGTCATGACTCCCATAAGAAGCTACCTCTTATTTCCAGGTCAGCGATCAGATTCCTTCTCAGTGTTTATTAGCCAAAATCCATCTCAAACTCACTACCACTCAAGCCTATGTCAGTGCTCTTCCAGCGTCCAAGATCTGAGGCATGGCACGCTACCCTCAGCAACAGCCCAGCATGGTTTTCTCGCTCCTGTCCTATGAACATATTTCCAGCTCTGCTAGGCTTTGGCATCACATCTATCACCGGTCTCCCCCTCACTTCCACTAACCCTCTGGTACCCTCTTTTATCCAAAACTTCATCCACACCCTCCCCTTTACTACCAATACACATCTCTAGTCAGTTCTATATTCTGCTTACTGTAAATTTCATACCAGAAAATGACTTTTTTCACCCCAATATCACTTGGGTCCAAAGGGATTAACACCCAATGTCAAACTAATCTACTTCTCGAGAGGGAGGAAGGTGGAGACTTAAGAAAGGTAGACACAAACCTCTCACTAACGAGGCAAGCATGATTAAGTTTGCTTTTAACAGTCAGCTCATTCACTGCTTATTAGCTCACTTGTGACATTATTATGTTTTAAACACTCATTATCTTTTATGCCTCTGTTTTGAGGCAAAACAAGGTAAGGCACAAAACAGTGCCAATTTTCTGAAGGGAGGCTCAGCTACAGAAAAGCTGCTGTAGATGACTAACCCTCACACTATTTGTTACTCAACTTTCTAGTCCTGGTGATTAAACTCCGTGCTGCTTCCAGCACAAGGAATCTGTCTCATTACAGACAGTTTTCATTGGGCATTATATTCTGCTTGTACTTCATATAGAAAACAGAAACAACAAAAGATAGAAAACCAAAACAAAACACCATGCCAGCAGCTATTTAATAGCAAAACCTATACAATGAAGATAAATAGGGTTTATGCTTTTGTTTTTCCAGCTCATCTTCAAGCTCACAAAGTTATAGCATACATTTTGAGACCCACAGCCTATAAAAATGAAGATTTGAAATTATCTACAGTATTACATTTTAAAAGTAGAATTTTTAAGTTATTTATTCGTACAATTCAGTTGCTTCCCCCCCCCTTCCAGTAACAACATTGAGGGTTTGACAGTATTGTATACTTAGAATTTGCAGTAGTTATGTATAAACGGGGTCCAGTTGTTCAGGCTGTATTTCACTCCTGCTCTGAAATAACGTACCATTAATTGGGCAAATATCACAAGCCCATTAATGCCACTCAGTTTTAAGGGTGATTTATCTATACTTCTGACAAATACTGCAATAGAAACAAGGGGACCATGACCAAGCCTCAGATAAGTAAAGCATCAAAAAGATGATTCATTTCAGTTTCCATGGGACTAAAAACATCTTAGTTCATGATTAAGTTGATAAGAACGGTGCTAGAGCAGAGGATGCTGTTCTTTAAGAACACTATTCAGAAGGTGGAGAACGTCCCATTTTTGGTTTTCCTCGCTAGTGTCACATTAGAAGTTTAAGACTATCAATTTCTAAACCTTCAGGTAGCCTTGGAAAAAGATACAGCAGAAAGAAATTCTGACTGTACCATTCAATGGGGAATACACATCACCCAAGCAATTATATCACTTAAATAAAACTCAATTAGTTCTTGAAATAAAGCTTGGCTATCATTAGATGCAGGAGAGACGTAAACTCAGCTGGACTAGCTGACACTCAAACCCCTGCGGAGAGTAATGTTATCATAAAGTTCAGCAGACTGTGTTAAAACCTACACAGAAATGTAAGTCTTTAACGTGACTTGTTAAATTTTGAGAATTATGGAACAATCTTCCCTACAATTTCAACTCAAGGACCTGCCTTCCTTAATAACAGCCTCTAACAGTAGAAAGGCCTATAGTGAGTGCATTTAAGTTTATAATGAGCTCTTTGCCCTATTTTTATAATGCTTATTCATTCTTTTAACAATTCCTGGGCGATTCTGAAAAAAACCTGTCAGGTATTAAGATCTAAAGCTAATCTATTACCTCATTCACAGAGCATGCACCAGATAGAAACAGAAATGAAGCAGCACTCCAATGAAAGAGGAAAAAAAATCAAAAGTAGTCTGGCAACTAATTGGTGCTGGAAAGCCATACAATGGGAATTGGGATAGAAAGCTGTGAGATGGGAATCAAGATTTCTCTCTCTAGGCAACTCACCTCCATGTTCAAGAAAAACACGGACGCATCTCTCTTTCCCTCTTGCTGCAGAGAAATGAAGCAAGGTCCAGCCATTGGCATCTCGACCATTTGGAGAATATCCTTGCTCCAGCATCTTGCGCACGGTGTGAACATCGCCAGCAGCAACTGCAGCCTGAATCTGCAATTCTTCCTGTAGTTCAGGGTTTCTCCGACAGTGATGGTGTAACATCCTAGCTGAATCTGCCTTTTACAGAAGCGTCATGAGGTCGCACTAGTCACCTTGAATCAATATAAAGCATGAATTAATTAGGACTGGAACCAGGAAAGAGATCTGAAAAAAATAATTAGTACTAATGAAAAGCAATGCTATGATTTACTCTCTATATGCAGAGCAAAGCCATCTTATACACAGGACAAAACACAAGTAATCTCACTATTGCTAGAAAAATTGTAGTATACACCATTGAATTGCGACTAAAAAGGACACTTGCACATAATAAATAGTAATCATTTCTTTGAAAATGAAAGCATCAACAAGCAGACCACAGTTAAAGCACCCAAACAATGAGCAGGATGAGAGATCTCCAGGACCCAACATTCCTTTAAGATCAGACCCTGGTTAATACCACTGCTCTGGAGATACTGCTAAATACATCATCTAAACTGTTGCATGAAACAGCACGGTATTGCTACAGCAATGGAACTATGATTTTTTTCTTTATTATTTTTTCTAGAAATATGTCACCTCTAAACTTAATCGAAAATGTGTTCTATTACTAAGATAACATTTTCCTGTGACATACTGCACAAGAATATTAGTAACACCAATGTTCAAAGTGAAAACTTTAATCCTCTCTTCCCCCCTGTCCTTTTTTTTTTAAAAAAAATGTTAAGAGTATACCGCCAGTAGTTTGGCGTGTGGGCTTCTTTATTAGTACATAAACAATGTAAAGGACCTTTATATTCCAAAGCCAGGCAATGATATTATATGAGACCTGAGAACATAAAAGTTCAGTTAATATAGTCCTGTCAAACACTACAAATAAATATATCAGAACAGTTCAACTTATAATTACCTTGATAAAGCATATGAGAGGGCTGGGCCAAAAGGCTACCTAAAGCAGCCATTGTCAGAGAACCTAGAATACCAGCATATATTGGGGAGAAAAAAAAAAAACAACAAAAACTATACTCCATGCCCTGTTTGAAAAGCACTCATCTACAGTTCTACTTGCTACCCAGCTGAGGACAAGAAAAAAAAAAATACAGGTACTCAGAAATTCTTTCACAGCACACAAAATCTGTTCAGTATTTACATTTTCACATACATTCTGTATCATATTCCATTATCAGGTATTCCTAGAATGGAAAGGAATATTAGAAGAATAAAAGCAAGGAATGAAGAAGAGGAGTGCTGAGCAATAAAAATCTCAGAATTATCCAGAAATTGCAATGGACGTTAACACAGAAATAGAATATTAAAGAAAAAATGTATTTAGAATGCTGTAAAGTTAATCATGAGTAAAGTAACACAAGAAATTCTGAAGATGAAATGAATTTTAAATGATCCTTAAAATTTACACCAACCCCCATTATATTAGAACATCAACCCACATCACCACCTAAGCCTTCATTTACGTAAATAAGGATTTCCAGATCCTCATGATTCATAGGTCACTCAAAAGGCATTGCAATCAACTCCTCATATCCCACTGGGCACTTGTTTTTCTGTGATCCAGGTATGCACACAGACAATAGGAAAGTGAAAACATCAATCACTGCCATCCTCCCAGATAAAGGCATAGATGTCTATTCACTCTTCTTATTACCTGGTTGTGCTCATTGCAAAAAAGTTATTTGCGTGCTGCTTGCAGAGATATAAACTTATAATGAACAGGTAGCTACAGTGACCCTACTTACACAGCAAAAATGGAAATTACATGCAGCAAATACCTGCCTTTGACATTTATAAATGCTTCAAGATACTACGTATGGCAAGAGAGACTAATTCAGCACAGAGCTGTGAAAGACAGCTATTTAGCTCAATAGGTCGTATGTGGCTTAGACACTGTCTTGGTTTTGTTTCACGGTATGGACTCCATTATCTGACACAGGAAGAAAGGGATTTGCAAACTGGCACCTGCTAACTTGATAGGTTCAGCTTTGGCATCATATTCAAAAATCAAACTCGACTAATCTGATGACAATGGAAGTATTTCTATTGACTCTAATAGGCTTTTGCTAAGCTCTTTTCTAAACTCCAATTAGCACTTCAAAATGTGCTCACCTATAATAGAGGGAGCTTGACTTCGTTCTAGATCACACCACTAACAGTACTGTTAATGAAATTCCACCTGCAAGAACAGCATCTTGGATTTATAGGTGAAAGCTGACCAAAGAAAGTAATCAATACTGAGTTTGAGGGAAATCCTTCAGAAACAAAATCAAAACACTTCACTACTCCCCCAACCCTCCAAAAACCACGCCCCTTTGACCTTATTTTCTGTGTCAAAAAACAAGATACATAAATTCTTTTCCCAAACTGAGAATATCTGACAGAAAACATTCTACCACCATTTCTACAGTCCCTACTGGTAAAGGAATAATACCTGCAAGATCCCACAGTGTCCTGAAAATGAAGGTCAAACTTGCTGTTCAAAGTACGACAGAAAGAGACAAGATGACCATACAGGTGAGAAGAAATGGATTTCTCAATTAAGGGGCCAGCAGTATCCCCCCAAAAAGTATCTACGAAGACAGTTGGTTAAGAAAAAGCAAAGCTCTTTATATCACACTTCTCAGCTGGTGGGTACATTTGTAATGCAGCATTACAAAAAGTTGGCACTGGCCCCATATGTTGCATGTGACTCGCAGAGCTTATTCAAATTAGCTAGTACTAAAGTACGTAAGTACTAAAACATACAAAGCTAAAGACAAAGTCAGGCATAAGCAGCTCCTTTTATCACTTGCGTAGTTTCTGTAAATATCTACTCTTCTATCTCACCCCTATGGCAAGCAATGAAATTCAAATGACAAGAATACTTAACGGCAACATTGAAGGTTTCAGGATAGTTCTAGACACACCAGCTTTGAAAATAGGTTAATTTCCACTCCACGGATCATTTAGAAATCCCGTTTATAAATCTCCATTTACGGCATCAATTTTTGGAGAAGGAGAGGGGGACTACTGGAATTCATTAGCCAATTGGCACTTTAAATATGAAATGTTTTGCAACTATAATCAATCTCATTCACAACGTATTATGCATTTGGATTGCTACATACTGGCTTTCTTCATGCAAGTACAAAATTAAAATGAGTAAGTATGAAAAAATGTACCTATACATTCTTGGTATAATGATTGTAAAGTGGCATGAAAATAAAGGACAACAACAACAGTTTAACTGATTTTGCAAGCACAAAAGGATAAATTCAATGTGTTCCTGAATTACCTTACGAGGGGTTGTCAGTCTTTGATGGATGTCCCACTCTTCATTGTCTTCACTATTCATAATCTTGCATGCCCATGTGTGTCAAACAACCTGCTACCCCTTAAAAAGAACGATATTTCTTGTTAGGGACAAAAAGTAAGAGGTTTACCTACTTTTACCCTGGATCTGCACTAGAATGCTACATTTTAATACCCTCGTGGCGAAAAAAGTCCCCAGGTATGTTTTCCTTCATTATCAGACAGTCCTCCAGAGACTGGGTTGGGGAGAGTTTCCTTCTGCCAGATGAGGAGAAGGCTACAGAGATTAATTTACAAGAGACAAGAGAAACTAGAGATGTGCTTCCTCCCTGGAGTACACCTTGAAATGTCTAAGCCCCGCTCTAACCATTTCACGTATCTGTCCTGCCATGGAACAAGGATGAATGCAAAGGTTACAGCAGATATTTCTGCCTGACTGCTCAACATCTTCCCATGGGAGCCAGATTCCAAGAAAAACCTTCAGGATCCACTCAGTTCCTCCCAGCCCACATCTGTTTCTTTATCCCTATCCCATCTATGTTTCTCTGTCTCAAAAACAAAAGCTGACAAGACAGAGCGCTTCTTTCCTTGTCCTTCAGCTGGGCTTCTGTAGCACCAGCAGGTCGCTCAGCTCTCACTCATGCAAACAGCCAGGCTCACAGACAGGCAAACACACCTTCACAATGCAAGCAATACCTTTAGCCCCCAAATCTTCACCCTTTTCTTCACACATCAAACCTTTCCTTTTCATATCCAGGTTTACTGAACACCCGTTACCAACCCTATCCATTTCCTTTCTTCTAACCAGCACATCTTATTCTCCTTCCTTGCCATCTGAAGCTATCAGCATCAGTCCCAACATCTAACCGCTCTTCATGGCCCCATTCATACAATGAAATATTAATTCATTGTACTCCTCTCTCTTTCTGGCCTTTTTTTTCACGCTGGCTGTGATCTGTTTGGGAAGGACCCCTCATCATGTTTATGCGCTGCGATACCACAAGTAATAAAAGCAATAATTACTGCACCGTGTAGCAGATCACACAAACTGTGAGTTCTGTCTGTTGCATCAGACCAATTTAAGAACCGTGTAGCTTTTAGCTTCAAATTTGTCACTTAACGCAACATAAAATCTTGCTTTCCTGATGGTGGCTCAGAAAAAGAGGATGGAGAAAAGCTCTCTTCATCCCCTTATGCACGTTTTCCTAGAGACTCGCTTCCCAAGATAAAACACACAAGGCTTGCAGATATGCTCACAGCCCTGCACAAAATTGCACTGCCATGACCTAATTTGATCACATTTCTAGCCTTGTTTTTGCATAGTTGATCAGTCGTTAGTTCACCTTTTTTTTATTTTTTATTTTTTTTGCATGATTTTCACTTAAAAACCCACACATTTTTTATTAGCTGATGCAAATTAGGATTGCACTGACTTCACAGACTACAGACAAGGTAACAGATTGCTCCACTAAAAAAGTAACAAGCTTTTTTCCCCCCAAAGGAAAATTAGCTGCATATGGCAAGAGTAAGATCTGTAACTTTAATAAAAAGAAGTTATATTTAGTGAAAGTAAAGCTCACTTACTCAACTTGACAAAGTTTGCTTAAAATACTAATAATTGTAGTAGAAGCTGCACACTAACTAAAGAAAATAAGACAAACATCATCATTTTCTTTGACAACAGGACTATTTATCAATAGATATCCCAGACTTTTCTACATTAACGTGTTATTTCATTCAAGTCATTGCAAACATTACGTGCAAAATGAATTCCAGCGTATCTGTGCATGCACTTTAAAGAAGATTCAAGGCTGATACTAAAGATGAGACCTCAGAGGACAGTGTTTTGTTCATTCAAAGAGCCTAACAGGCTTTATCCCTGAGCCACGAGGTTACACATCCAACAGCAGAGCAAGGATTACACTTACTGGCACCAACCTAACTGTATACAACAAGGGAAAGTGTATCACTACTCATGACTCTTAATATCCAGCACAGAACTAGTCAGCATAGGTCCTGGTTGTATCTGAAGTCTTCCACGATATTTAAACCAACCAACCAAAAAAAAAGAAAGCCCGGTGGAGTAAGGATAATCACATCAGTATTCATTATTCTCCCACCCATTTCAAAACTCAAACAAGCTAAATGTGTTCTCACTCAAATGGCATTTCAGAAACGGACAACGTGTTTGACGAAGAGCCTAAATGCAACCATCATCTTCCTATGTCGCTCAGCTTCCTATTTCAGGAGCTCTACAGACAGAGTAAGGCAAACAATGTTATTTGTGTTCTCCTATCGCAATCACAAAGTTTGCAAATAACATGTGAAATATCAGAATTTCACAGAGCCTGATGGTCCTGAATATATTTCCTGCAAGCTGCTCTATGCTACATCCCAGACAGACACCAAGCGAGGTATCCAAGTGACTGAGCTGAAAATCACCGAGCCACGCATGCGTAGTGCTGGAAGCAATGAGTTAATAGTGCACGAATCTTCCCAACCATCACAGAACTACTGCTGCTTCGAAGGAAAGAAGCCTTCACACTTCCTAAGTGGTCATTAAGAGTTACAGGGTTCTCATGAGGGCATCAATAATGCCTTCTTGTAGCTGGGACACGTTCAGCTGAACCAAGAGAGCTGATCTAAAAGTCCTCCATCGACTTCAGGTGGTTATGGTACCACGTGGTGCTGTTAGACACTAACAAGCAGCTGCTGGGCTGGCACATTCTGCAAGTGACTGAAATTGAAGTTTAGAGGTGTCATTTTACCAATTATTATCCGTTTCACGGAGAGGCTGAGGTCTGGCTTTTGGGCCTGGTGGAGAACTAGTGAAATCAGCCAGCTCAAGTAACTTCAGTCTGCAAACAGGAGAGCAACAGAGGAGACATCACCTTCAGAAAGCACTGGCAATGTGTCAGTTTTAACCATCCTGAGGATTCCCTCCCAATACATTGGCAACCTTAACCACAAGCAGAACCCCGTGAAGAAAATGCTGTGACTCCCCCCAAACCAAGGAGCCCACTGTTAGTGCCGAAGCAAGGCCTTGCAGAGCTTTTTCAGTAGGGAATGCTGCATCAGATTCACACAGCTGTAACTCTCCTCCCTCAGATCTGCACTGACCAACTGCAGGAGCTCGTGGCCTGCAGCATGCTTTGCAATCCTCCTGTACCAGCATAAAAGACAATCCCTCTTCTAACTTTTAACAAGTTTCAAACAGTACAAGTGAAATGAAAAGTTAGCCTTAAACTCAGTAACAATTCATAGCAAGTGTTAATGCCTAAGACTTAAAAATTTTAACATGATTTGCTGTCATTAAAGTATCCAAACACCAACTTTTCATGGAATGACAAAAGCAGGAGGAAAAAATAACTAGTTCAAACCTCACCAAAGCTATCACTCAGTCCTAATAAGACAACTGATGAGCAGAGTTTGCTTCATTCAAGTCTCTGCAGCTCTTTTTAATACGGCCTAAAAGAATCAAACTGGACAGGATTCTCTGGATGACTTCAGCAGATAAAGCAACTGTATTTCACTGCAATGGTATCATTCTGGAAGGAAATGCTGGAACAACTGAAAACAGCCTCTCAGTCTACCCATTTCCTTTAAGGGTAGAGAATTCACATTAAGGAAAACCAAAAACAAAGTAGATATATAGCCTGAAGATAATTAAAAAACAAACAAACAGCACACTGGATGTGTGTTTCTAAGGGGACAGCTATACTTGCAACGTGCTGCATTCCTTCCAGAGCTTGAGAGGAGGGCTTCAGCACACCATTTATCTCCGTATCTTGTTTTGACCGCGTGTAAATTTCTGCCAGCAGCTAATTCCCCGATTCCTGTGAACCCAGTTCCAGCCTCTACATCTGGATCACACTTCACTGCATCGGCATTCCACGTTAGGAAGGAGCTTCACAAATCACAGACACAGTCCCCAAAGATCTCATGGCTTATCAGCACCAAGATGTTCTGCTGGAGAAGCGACGTTAATGCAAGGCCCACGTTAGACCCACGGGATGGGCTGCAAAGAGGTTGTTAGGACAATGCAACTTTACAAAGCAGGTGTGCCATAACTGCACTGCAAAGTTCGTATTAATGCATATCTGTCCCACCAATTAGCATAAAAGCCCCTCCTGCAATCACACGGGGCACGTCCACGTGTCCCAGCAATATGTATATGACTTTGCAGCATTCTAGCGAAATGACACAGATAATTTCTTTACTACTTTCAGCAAATATCTCAGAACTTGTGGTACTGAGGAATTTTCTATTTAATCTGCTAACAGCTACTCCTCAACACACGATGAGGACACACACACCAGAACACAGATCCACCCCTGACCAAAGCCACAGGTACGGCTTTTTCCCCCTGCAACTAACGCTGAGAAATAATTTATTGCTGACAGCGCAAAAACGTTCTGGTGCAGTCAACGACGTCTCTGACAACACGACAAAGACCGGTGGGACCACACTGAGGATATTTGCCAAAACAACACAACCTCATCTACTTTTGAAACGGATTAGGATGGAGTCAATACAGACTTGGCATTAAAGGAACAGGCAGAAACGCCATTATTTGGAGCACAGCAACAGCAGGACACAGAAAAAGGCTGACTGCTATCAACAAGCCCCCCCCAACGCTCTTTCCTTCTAGAGCTCATCTCTTTATCTCCTTGCCATGTAAAACAAGCACTTCTCCCTAGGAACTGTTCTCGCTCTGAACCCCAACCGTCCTCCTCTTACCAGCAGGGCTCAGTTTTTGATGACTCCTTTCATTTTTTTTTCCTTCAGCATCTAACAGCATTATCTTCTCCTGTGATCTCAGCCCACAAGGTACTCGTAAACAAACGCCATCCAATTAAACGCGCGGCGATTTTCGCAACTCAGTTAAAATACAAAAAAAAAAAAGCCTGACCCACGCAAAACTTCGGTACAACTGAACCAACCAAATGCAATTACCATGACCTGCTCCAGTAACAATTTTAGAATCAGAGCAGAAACAAGTCAGGTAAGTTAGTGAACAGACTGAAAGAGCCGACCCTTTCCGCTACCCAGAGCGAAGTCGTTTAAAAATGACGCTCCTGAGATGAAGAGACCCAAAAAACGTTAAGCAGCAGCTCAAGATCAAAATATCATTTGCAGGTTAAATTTAGAAAATGACAAACTTACAAAAAGAAAAGAGGAAGAGTGCTTCAAACGGGCCTCGGAGCTTTCAAACTTCTGAAGCTCAATAGCAAGCAGGTTTTGAGAGAACAAAGGCATTTAATGCTACCTATTCAGATCCGTGGAAAAACACTTACAACGAGAGGCCCCAAACCCAGGCAAACCGTGCGTCTCGGACGATTCTGAGAAGTCTACATGAATTATCACCTTTCTGGGGATTTTTTGCGCGCCGTTTTCTCTCTTCTGTCTTATTTTGCTCTTTGGAGTCACGATTCTTATTTCTCCTTTAAGGCAGCTTAAACCTAAAAAAGAAATAAATAAAAGCCGACCTGAGCCAGGCAATGACAGGAGAGAGACCGAGACCAAGGCGACACCAGGTTGAAACAGGAAGAGCCTGCGAGGATTAGGAAGGAACGGGTGCGTTACCGGGGTCGGGACGGCAGCTTGGGGAGAAGGAAGGGCACTGAGTGGGGACACCGGGGGGGGGGGAGCTGCGGGACCCCAAGTGCCCAGCAGGGTCGGGAGCAGGAAGATGCTGGTGGAGAGGGTCTGAGGGGGGTGGTGTATCTGGGAGGGGGGTGTTTGGGAAGGGGGGTTGTGGGGAAGGAGAGGGGGTCTGATTAAGGGGTGTTGGGAAGGGGGGGTCCCCGGTAAGGGGGGTGCTTGGGAAGGGGGGAGTCCCTGCAAAAAGGGGGGTTCCTGGGAAAGGGGGGGTCCCCGGGAAAGAACGGGTATTTGGGGGGGTGGAGCGATCCGGGAATGGGGTCCCTGAGAGGGGGGGGATCTGGGAAAAGGGGTATTCGGGGGATCCTGGAGGGGGGGATCCCCAATAAGGGGGGGTCCCCATGAAAGGGGGGATCGGGGACAGGGTATCTCCGGGCAGAGCGGTTCCGGGAACACGGTCCCGGGGACAAGAGGGGGGGGTCCTCAGGAACTGGGGGGGGGTTCCCAGCACCTTGCCCCCTCCCCCCATAACCACAGGGCCCTGACGGCGCTGCCCAGCCCCCCGGGGGCTCAGCGGAGCAGCACAGGCCCCGCCGCCCCCCCCCTTCCCTGAGGCAGCGGCGCCCCCACACGGCCCGGGGGAGGCCGAAAAGGCCCGGGCCGAGGCTGAGGCGAGGGGGGGGGAAGAAGAAGAGGCAAGAAGGGGGGCGGCCGGGACGCCGCCCGCGGCCGTTACCTGCCTGCCGCCGCCGAGGCGGGCACCCGGCGAGCTCCGTGAGGCGGCGGCGCTGAGGGGAGAGGGGGGAGGAGAGGGGAGGGGGGAGGGGGAGGGGGGGGGAGCGGCGGGGCCGGGGGGAGGCGGCGGGGCCGGGGCCGGGGCCGGCCGCGGGCGGGGGCCGAGCGGAGCGGGGCCACTGCGCGCCGGGGTCAGCGGGCTGGGACTGACCCCCGGCTCCGCCAATCAGAAGGCGCCGCGCTGGGCCCGCCCCCGCCCGCCGCGTTTGATTGGTTGGCGGGCTGACGGAGGCTCCGCCCCCTTTTTTCCCCCCCTCTCCCTCCTCCTCCGCTGCCCTCCCCTTGCCGTAAAGGAGGGAGGGAGGGGGGGGGAGGGGGGAGGGCTTTGCGACAAGAGCAAGGGGGGCGGCCGCGGACGTTCGCGCGGTTTGGGTGAGGAGGTTTGGGCCTTGCCACGACCCGTCCGGGTGTTTGGGGAGGGGGGGGTGAGTCGCGGTGGTTGCCTGGCAACGGTTGCCTAGCAGCGGGGAGGGGCGGGGCGGGAACCCCCGTGCGCGGGGCGGCCTGGGGGTGACTAAGCGGGGCCGCGGGCTGCCGGGAGGGGGGGGGGAGGGAGAGGAGCGAGGGGGCGGGGCTTGGGGTGGGCGGGGCTTGGGGGCGGGGGGCGGGGCTTGGTGAGGGGCTGAGGCGGGCGGGGGCTGAGGGGGGGGGTGAGGGCTGAGGGCTGAGGGGGTTGGGGGGGGGGGGGGGGGGGGGGGGGGGGGCAGCGGCCGTTGGCGGCCTCTGTGAGGAAATTTTATTATTTAGAGGGGTTTGTGGTGGTCCAGCTGAAGTCATGAAAGTAATAGATAGCAAAGTGGTTTTTTCTCTATAGCTTTCCTGTCTGTCGCCTGATTTGTCTATACAGGAGGTCTTTAGAAGCACTTCCTGATGTTTATGCAAGAGACCTGCACTGTGGGGCCTTATCTTAATTGGTTTTTAGATGACGTCTAAATAACGATTAAATAATACAAGTAAGGGTTGGAATTTGTCGTTTTTTTATGGCTACGATAGCTCTTTGCTCTTCAGCGTTGAGCTCTCCACCGTGCTTTCTGTCAGAACCAAATCTAGTCACTCTCTGACGTTTTCTCCCATCTTCAGGTGTTTTTGTAAAGAGCTCCGCAAATTAATGGTTTTCATATTGATGTCACGGTAGGATCAAGGAGAGCACAGCCAATATCATGTGGCAAAGGTAAAATTTCACAGCGCACGTCCCAGCAAAGTTCCAAGTCCCTCTCGCCTTTAACAGCCTTGCAGTATTTTATGAATTTGTGCACGAAAGATCTGTTCATTTACCATGAAGGGTGATAATTCGGGTTGATTTTGGACACAGAAGTAAATGTGTTGAGATAATTTTACTTTATTAGATGTTCGTTTAGGAAGAAATAAAACTCAAGGATGGGAACAATAGCTATATAAAATATTCAGAGTGGTTTCTGAAGAAATTTTATGAGGTTTCACGCCATAAATTTTTATCTTGAGTAGAATTCCAAGTAGATTCTGCAGATGAAGGAGTTTGTATGAAGCACAAAGTCTGCTTTTAAAATCTAAAATGTGGAATATGGGAAAGGGGTGGGGAAAGGGTTCTTAGGTCTGCTGTGGATGAGGTGAGGGACACTTTGGAGCTGTCCGGACAGCCGTTGCTGAATATCTCTTCCAAAATACCCCACCAGAGGGAACTGCAGATGACTCCCTGCAATGCAGGCATCTGGTGATTTTCAAATTTTAGGTTTGAATTTACAGCAAAGGAAAGACTGCCGCTTGTGGCAGTAGTTAGCAGACTGCGTGGCATGTCCTGCTCTACCACCACTACTTTGTAGCTTTGGGAAGTCATTTCTTCAATGCGTACTTCAGCTGTATTTTAAAAAAATAATAAATCAGAATCACGTTGTACAAAGCAAGGTGTAATTGTCAATGTTTAGTAATTCTAAAAACCTACAAAGATTAGAACTTAGAAAATTAATCACCTTTCGAATACTGAATTTTGTAGTTTCTATGTTTTCTAATATTCTCCTAAAAACCAGTAACTTATTTTTGGTGTGATGATAATTTTTGGTATAACTGAAAACATAGATGAGAAGATATTTCCGATCTTTTATCAGTTAAGAGGCCGAGCTGTTTTCTTCCTCTGGTGAGAAGTGGGAAGCATAACATTTAAGCAAAAGCCAGCTAGAGACAGGTGGCTTCCAGCAGCCTACCTGGCTGACTGTGCCAGATTTAGAGAGGGAGTCCCAAAAGCAAATTCCAATAAAGAAAATAAATCCCTCTCCTAAATTCACAGCAGATAAAAGGTAATGAGTTTCTTTTATTAAAGGGACTCTGCTTAGATAACATGTTAAAAGTGATACAGACTAATATCACTCTCAATATAAATGAAAAAGAAACCCTGGTGTTCTTAAGTATATCTGTTTTGTTTTCTGGGGAGATCTGATACCTGCCTTGCTTGCATAATGACTAGAAATTTGCAGATGCTTAGCTGTGCACGCTTTGAAGAGGGATTTGAATTCTTAATAGCCTTTCTTTTAAAGCTGTACTGAATGTTCCAGTGTAGTGATTTTAAGAAATGTTCCATTGACTTTGTGATAAAGATTTTTTAAAAAATCTTTTCTGAGTGTGGTTAAATACTTTTATTGGCTCCCAAGGCCTTTTACACTTTAAGTAAATTTTTGTTTTGAACTTTTCAGCCACTGTGCCCTTGAGACCAGTCTTCTGGTCACAGGATCAACCAGAAGAGTTTATCCTTTGCATTATCTAAGAGCTAGGTTTGGGTTACAAGATTTATGTGCTCAGAATAAGAATTCTGCACATTTAGAGGTAAATGAATTCTGTGGTCCTCCTTACAAAATTAGGAGCTTGGTTCTCCCCTGGTGTATATTCACACTGCTTACCTTGAGCCTATGTGCAACAGAATAGAAGACTTGTGCTTTGTTTTACATATTTTTTGGTAGATGTTGTTCTGTCCAGCCTTAGTGGAGAAATAAACATTGCTGGTTCAGGTGAAAAAGCTCAGCTGAAACTTTATGCCTGTTTTTGGAGCGATCTGTCACAAAGGAAGTGAGGTGTTGGTAAATCTAGCAATGTGAAGGTAGAAAGATTTGACTGAAGTTCTCATAGCTTTCAGAAGTTTCTTTATGGCTACCTATTAAGTTCAGTAATAGTAAAATATTTATTTCTAGGTAACTTAGAAGAGAAGCATCTAATAATGTGTCAATTTCTCTTACAGGATGAAAATAACTTCAAAGCTGATTTGCAGTGATCAGAAATAATCCGTGAAGATATACGACTTCCCACAAAATATTGAGTGTTCTCATAATGAAGATGTCTTTGCTACAGCAGATGTACAAAGACATACTGGCAGGAATTCCATTAGCAAAGGAAAACCGTTATTATGCCTCTTTTCTTACTCTGTGTATTGAGCAGTCACCAGAAGGAGATGAATCGTGTGATCGAATGCATCTACCATCTACTGAGGGTGGTATTAGGAGCCATCAGGACGCTATTTCAGACACTGTTGGGTCTACAGCAGATGATGTATCGCGTGACTTAGCAAACATGAATTTCTCATCCTGTCCAAGAGAAGTGATGCTGCTTCAGTTAACCTTGATCAAAATGCTGGTTGATAAAGCAGTATCTGAGGAAACTGAATTCAGTACAAGACAGAAGTACTGTGAAATCCTCATCCTTCTTCTGAAGGAGCCAAAAATCAGTTCGAAATTGGTAAGCTTTTATAAACTTTTGAAAGATCTTTGCAGAAGGGGGGAAAAAGGAATATTACTTAATGTGTTTTTTGTGTTTTGTTTTGTGTTTTTTTTTCTTTTTTACATCTGCAGATTTGTTTGCTCAGTAGTTGTGATCGGCTATTATCACACATGGCTTCAAAAAGTTTAGCATCTCTTGTGTATTTCCAGCTGAAGGAAGAGGTGAGTGTCATATAACTTCTCACAGCTTAAAAAATGACTTTGTGAATACATCCCTTCAAGTTGTTCCATTTACTCTAGAGCAAACTGATTTGCAGAAGACACAGAAAAATCTGAAATTTCATGAAACAACTTTAGCATAAAGTATCTCTAAGTCACAAGAAGTACTCTCTTTAAGCTTGCAATACAGGTATTTCCAAAAAACAATAAACTACACTATCAATATGTGTAGAGTTAGTTGAGGTTTGTTGCATGATGCAGTAGGTGAAAATAAGTAACAACCTATTGAAAGTTAATCAAATACATTTCTGTATTTTCTTGTTCGATATTCCAATGATTTGTTGGTTTTTCCTACTGTATATTTGATGGGTAAATATTATATCCTCCATAGTATCATACCTGAATACGTGTATTTCTCTCAGAAACACGTTTGCAGTATCTTGCGGAGTTCACTGAGACTGGGAATTATGAATTCAGATGTGGTCTGTCTACAGTATTATCTGATTTGGGACAGGTTACATAACATTGAGGTTTGGTTTTCCCTTTCTTGAAAGTAGAGCTAATTGCTATTGCATGCGTGACTTCGTATTTATAAACACAGGTCTACATACGTAAAAGGCACTAGGTGGATGTATTGTTTTTACCTGTGATTTTTCTATGTCTTAGTTTGCATCTTATTAATTACATTTAATTACAAAATTGAATCATTGTATAATGTTTTAATTTAATTTGTATAGCAACTGTAGAACATACATGCTTTCTTATCTCGTTTCCATAGAATGCATTGAATGTCACCTGGCTCAGCCATAGTTTGAAGACTCTTTTGGAATTCCCTATGTGTACCCAGGTAGCAGAATGTCTGTGGACTCTTACAGCTATCATCAAAGACATACTGAAAGATGAAACTTTACCCAAAGCAGGTACCGTAGCAATTTCATGATAGTATCAATACACGACTGCCCACTAGGGGGAGGAATATTACTTGTAATCTCATCTAGAGCAGCTTGTCTGTACAACACCTATTTTGCTTTGCTGCGAAGAGGGGGAGAAAACGCAATTAAAAATGTAGTGGGTTTAACGTGCTTAAAAACTGAGTAGTCACAATCACTTGTTTTCTGCTTATATGATGATTTAGCTGGCTGTTATCCTGGAACACCAACTCTAACATTATTCTTGTTGCTATA